TTAGGAAAAAGAATCCTCAAAAATTCAAGGAATGGGGAAATCAGGGGAGGTCACATACTAATTCACTTTTTGGTGTTTGTGTGCAACGAAAATTCACAAAACAAAACTACAGTAGATAGACCATGTACACCTGGCACCAATTGGTTAGAAAAAAGGGCTAAGTCTGCTGGTTTCAAGTGCCAATGTCAAACTATAATGTCTGGTCATAAAGGTACTGTACAAGCATTCTACCTTAGAGCCACATCAAGCCTGCACATCTCTATCACCTTCTCCTACATTATTACATTGTAGTAATAAACATTTCATATCTTTTAATTTCTTCTTACAACTACTGCAATTATATATCACAAGTGATTGGAAAAAATACAAAAAATATTAAAAATAGTTACAATAAATAACTCAATGTAAAACTTTAAATCACTCTATTCCACTTCATCAGTCTTCAAATAATTCAATAAAAAAAATTAAAAAATCATATCAAATCACAATAACTGTCACAATAATCTTCAATCACAAACATTCAACGGGACGGAAAAAAAATCTTACGCAGGAACAAAAATCTCTGCCAGAGAGATAGAAAGACAGGGACAAGCTTCAAACAAACTTTATCAGCATGCAAGAAACTTTGGAGTGTTTATCTGAAAGATTCACATTTTCTTTGAGGGGGAACTATAGCAAGCCATTCTCCAAAGGGCCATCTAAAATACCAATAAAAAGTGGGATACTGTGCACTAGGGTTGGGAGACTTTACATGATATACAGTGCAATATTAATGCAAACTTTTGAAGTATTTCCATTGGTGAAAATGCTTTTTTGTTAATGCATCATTTTTGGGGGGAGGGGAGGTTGTCTGTATTATTCATATATTCTGTTCTTTTTCTCTATTCGGAGAACAATTCTTTATGAGACTGAAGAAGATAAATGATTTGTGATCTTTTTAAAATAATGTATGAAGCTGATAAAGTAATCAAAGAATAAAATTACCTGAAAATTGTATACTATATAAAAAAAATGGTTATTTACCATTCTCATCCAATATAATGACAATGTCTAGAAAAAGACTTTCACCTGACATAAATGTCCAGCTAACAGATATTGTTAACACCTTGTACATCCTCCTTGACCACGAAATTACTAATCATTAACTTCCTAACACCTGTATGATCAAGACCTGACTACAACATAATACCCTGTAAATGCCACATCCCTTTTCTGGAGAACTTTAAAAGAGTACACCCACAGAAACCTACAAAGTCCCTCAGAAAAGGGAAAGAGGATAGCAATGTTCTCTGTAAATTCCTAATTCCTATGATCATTACCAGTATTTTGGCAACTGTTATCATTATCATTACCATTATCATCATTCTTACTATCACCATTATAAATACCATCATCATGGCTATTATCATCATTATCATGATCACTAATATCATAACTATAGTATCACTCTTTTACTATTCAGACTACTGTCCTCACCACCTAATTGTTTTTCTTCCTTGCTACAGAAGAAAAACAGAACGACATACTGTACTTTCTTTCCACTTGTGCCATGGTAGGCTAACAAAAATATAAAAAGAACTGCAATGGAAAAAAGAATATAGACTTATCTAACAATCATGAAAAAACAAAGATGCCACTGAAAAATATAAGGAAACAGATCAGCAGTACAAAAAATACATATGATAAAAAGAAATTGACTTGATAAAGGCAAAAAAAAAAGTCAATTTGTTTTAAACGTACTATAAACACTGCCTACTTCTGAGCTCTGAAGCAATTCCACATCACTAACAAACAGAAATCACAAATCTCTACAATGATATGAATCAACAAAATTCAAAATGGAAAGGAATGGATTCTGTCACCACCAATTAGGGGCATTAGAAAATTTCATTCTGGAAGAAAGTAAATCACAAAGGGAATATCTTTTGCTTCTGAAAACAATATTGTGACAGAGTAACAGATGACTAATTTTTATAACCAGAAAGAGCCAAAAAAAATAGAGTTCACCAACATAACAACCATAAATTTTCACATCTCAAAAACATAGTTGAAGTCTAAAAAAACTTATCAAAGCTAAGATGATATCCTATATTAAACAAAAATTACCATAAACTAAGTACACCAAAGTTCAAAAATGGTACACAATCAAATCACTGAATTAAATTACTAAATAAAAATTTCACAAAGAATAACGTGTAGCAGAAGAAGTAAGAACAAGTAGAGTCTGTAGCAGAAGTAAGGAGAATAAAAACAAGAGATAAAGAGAATAAGAAAGGAAAGGAACAATGTTTTCAAGGTCAAAGAGGCTGTCAACAAGAAAGGGATCATTATTAAAAGACAGATTAAGCTGAAAAAGATGATTTAAGGTTTTAGCTACTGCAACTTTCTTTTTCAGTTGAAAATGCCTTAGAGGAAGAGGAGAGTTAAAAGCAAACTGAAAAAGACAGAATTAAAGAAGAGCTTCAGTTTAATCATTCACCATAATAAAAAAAAGAGGGGATGATGACAATTATGAAGTACACCTGAGTAAGTTCTGCATCCTGGCCAGCATGAAGAAGAAAATCAATCTCTATTCCCAAGTACTTTGTAAAGAAACTAGACAAATATTCAGATTTATAAAGGATATAAATTAGAAGGAAGAAAGTCTGTTCAGTAATAGCCAGAGAGAGAAATGTGAATAATAAACAAAAAATTACAAAACACTGTTATGGCACAGGTGGAGAAATCCACAACCACCAAAAATACAAAATACACAAAATATCTGTGTAAATCTAATTTAATAATCATATCTAATTATTAAGTTAATGCATGTGAAATTTTATTAAGAATGATACATATGAAGTGGATGCTTACCTACAACAATAACTTGCAAATTGTAAATGATGTTGCTTGAAAAAAAATATTTGCATCTTTTAAAATAATGCTGTACTGACTTTCCATGTGGAATGTTGAAGTCAACCTCTTTACTATTTCATTTGCTTTTACTGCCTTTTTAATTTTAAACCAAATAAAAAAGCAACAGATTTTGATAATATATTTTCCTAGAGCACTGCACTAGAATAATCCAATATATCAAAAACTAAACACAAGAGCAACATAAGATCAGCTTATGATACCTTCAAATTTCCCTATGCTTTATAAAACCTGGCCATGCTGGATGTCTCTATGTTATAAACCTAGATTCATAAATTTCATTTTCAAATTGAAGATATAATGGCTATAATATTCAATGATATAAAGTAACAAACAATATAAAGAAAGAAAAAAGTAAAACTAATATTTCAAACAAGACTAAGAAAAAGTGAACACAAATTCTGTATGAATAGTAAATTCAGATACACTCATATGCAAAAGTTCACTGGCAGTCCCTATAGTCCCTGTTGGGTATATTAACCAATACATATCCCATAAATTGTGTAGTGTTAGTCCACCATAGTAAGGAAGAAGGCATCTTACTAGGTAAAGTCTAATTTGGTGGTTAATACCTGTGGGTTATAGAACTACATACTGTTAAAGGTGATATTATCAAATAAACCTATATAAAAGAAAGTCAACAATATGAGGATATAATGGTATTGTGTAAAGGTGAAAGGTTACTACTTTACTATAGTGTCCTTAACCCAAACCCTATGGGAAAATGTATTCACTGTTGTTTTGTGAAATGTCTGCACATAGATGGCTCTACAAGTGCTTAGCCACAAAGGAGTCAATTAGTAGACCTTGTGACCTTATCTGATTTCAACTTGCCTTGAGTTGTAAAAATGTTTTTTTTTTAGTGATGCTATCATTATCAATGCTGTAAATCTTTTATAGACATTATAATATTATAGTTTTATTGGCATTACTAACAGCAATATTAAATACCAGAAAACATTTTAAAAAATCAAGGGAAAGGATACAGAGGTAAGACAGGCTGCACTCATAATTGGTTCATTGGTGACTTCGTACTTGTGGAGCCAACAATTAATAAATTAAATTCACAGTGGGAATGGCATGTACATATAAAACATAAATCAAGCAAATCACTATAAAATGTTCATCTATACATATAATGAAAGAGGCACAATAAGAATGAGGCAAAAAAAATCATGAGTTATAAGATTTGACCTGACTCTTCTCTAGATGATAAACACCTATCAGATTCCTAGTTTGATGAGGAGTGCATTTATTGTTTCTTTCCTTTTGTGAAGATTTCATATCATCTCTGTACATCCGCTACTGTACTTGTATCTCTGTATATATGACAAATAATGTCAACTAAGTCAAGTTTATTTTCTAACCCCCTGACAAAACAGGTCTATCCTCAAATTTTCATGCGAGAGTGCAACTGACTCCACCATCTTAGACAACAAGCCACTTGGACAAGGTTAGTGGACCTCACGGGAACACAATACAGTCAGAATGACACATCAGAACTATTAGAGAATCTCCCTGCGTCTATGATACCTCCAAGCCATGGTGCTAGCAGTAGATGATACAGACAGCTAGACACTGGCTTGCCTATTTACCACCTTGCACTTTGAGCTGGGTCAATGGTTTGGAAGTGTCGTGTATGCAAGGAGAGCATGTGGAATTCTGATGAACCATACTACTCATTAAATTTATTCTACTCCATTTCATATTCCTAATTCTGAAATATGATTCACAAATATTAATAATCAAACAAGACATTACACTTTACATCCAACTGCCTCCCCTTCCCTACCCTCATCCCCCTTCTTTTTCCCTTAGTATGGTAGACAAGCACTACACCCTCTATAGGCTAGGTTTGGAAACACATGCCTGGTAAGGACTATCAGCAAATTCTTGCCTGTAGGCCTACCAAGCAAAAGAAGACAGAAAAATGTACATGTATCACCCCACTTTTTATGGACAAGCTAGAACTATCAATGTAGAAAAAAGTCGACCAAGTGTTGTCAAACAGTGAGTCATCTTTCATAAGCTTTTTCTTGTAATTATGAAAATACAATCATCATTCTGATGACCTGAACAACATCACTGGTCAGTTTAAGTGTTGAGAATGAATCATTCTGTTGAACAATTCATTTTCATTCAAACATTTCCCTACATTCATCACAATAAACTTTATTCAGCCTAACAAGTCAGCCTGGCTCACAAAGAAGCCAAAAACACAGCACAAGCACACAGACATCTCATTGGAAGAAACAGCTTCCAGTAGTACCCTAGACTCTATCAAGCCAAAGAGCAGTGAACTGTAATAGTGGAATTTAATTTTCCAATATCTAGTTAAAGAAAATGATAAATGAATAATCATCAAATATCTGAAAATTTACCCAGAGAAACAGAGAAAGAGAGAAAAAAAGAATTTTCACTAAACAGTTAGTAAAACTCATAAAGACTGGCATTATGCACTTGTATGTTTCTATAAGAGTTGTGCATCCTTCTGCAAAAGCTAAATTACAAGAAACATCATGTTCCTGGTGGATTTCTCTACTTTCCTAAAGAGGAGACTGGAGAAAGTTGGGCAATGTAAGATAAAGTGAAAAAAATATATATAATATATATATATCTATATATAAACAAGATCAATCCAACATTAAGAGTTCATGCAATTATGCTTTTTTTTTAACTTCTAAAAAAAAAAAAAAATCAAAGAAAAAAATCGCAAGCACGGTATCTGCTCCACCCAAAGTTCTGAAGCAACATCATGAAAATGTAGAATAACTGGCATAATTACTATTTCCAGATGCATCTCCTTTATGGAAGGTTGTATGTAGAGAAAGAGCCACTGTTAACAGTCATCCGTGAACAAGTTTTCATCAAGAGAATTTATAAAAATAATTGAAAAAAAAAATGACATAAAAGTGGGGTACGTACACACACAAAAAAATAGGTATAATTATATATATAACATCAGCATCAAAAGTCCAAATGGTACATATAACACTTTAATGTTTCAAAGACGAAAAACACACATCTCTCTTACCTCTGCATGAACATGGGTGATATTGATAAGAATTTCCTTGACGTAAGTGCGGACGTCGGCCGGAGGATGTTCGACTTTCCCCCAGTCATACTGACCCAGGTACATGGACCGCTCAATCATGCCTGTTACAAATGGCACCATCAAGAATTCAACCAAAACATAACATAAACATGAAAAATAAAAGAACAAGAGGAGAGAATACAAGGAAGAAGTAGATCAACAAGTATATAATCATGATACAGTAAAAATGTAGGAGGAGGAGGAGGAGGAGCAAGAAGTTTGGGAGAAGGAGGAGGAGGAGAGAAAAGGAGGAAAAATGGAGTAAAAGAAGAGGAAGAGGAAGAGGAAGAGGAAGAGGAAGAGGAGGAGGAGGAGGGGCAGGAGGAGGAGGAGGAGGAGAGAAGAGGAGGAGAAAGAAAGATGGAAAAATTAAAAAAAGAAAAGAAAAAAAAAAAAAAGGTAACAGAATAAGGATAAAACAGAAATAAATGGATATCTAGTTAGTACGCAAAAACTAATTTGAATTATTTAGAGACAAGTATATCTTTTAATTGGCTGAGATATGCTTTCTTCCTTTTTTTGGGGGGGAGGAGGGGGTGATATGAACAAAAATATATAAAGAACTTACCAATAATCGGATCAACCCTTTCTTCCAAGTAAGCTTCGAAGAGCCTATCTTGTAGCTCCGTATACGTTCCACTAGCCTGCTCTACAGCTTCTTTCACCTTTTGATAATAAAGAAGATATAGATACAGCCAGATGTATAGAAGAAAGAAAAAAATATATATTTCAAATAGTAATAAAAGGAAACATGAATCAAACAATTAGAGCAATTCATCAAACCGAAACCTGTATGCATACACACACACACACACACATAGGCCTACACACATCTATAATATTCAATCACAAGTACTGAAAACCTCAAAAACTTACAGCCTCTGGAGGGTACGAAGCTCTCACCAGAGAGTCTGATAACCGCGGAAGGATTGTGCGTCGCATGAAGGCACAGTTGCTTAGTGTAATGAGCAGTTGAGCCTCAACACCTGGCGCATTCTCGCTGATGTTGCAGTCACTGTCATCCTCGTCAGGGTCATGCAGACTGACTTGGCTCAACTTCTCAAGTGACTGTAAAAGATAAGGACATTTAGGGAAAGAATTAAAGATTGCACTCTGAAACTAATATAGTATGGCCTGTAAATACCTGCCACTTCTTATTTCAAAATAAGGCTTTTGCATGAAAAAAATTACAATACTAAACATACGCATAATTATCATTTTATTTATGCTGAATGTCTAACTTCTCACTATACTTACAACTGCTGCATGATGGAGAACCATTACTAGAAAGAGATTTGAACAGATACTAGAAAGGCACCAAAGGCCAAACACAACACCTAATAAAACAAACTTACTTGAGCAAATGCAACAATAACATTGTGTATTAGAGTTATGATATCCCTATGCACAGTAGGATGATCGAGGAGTGGTGTTTCCCGCGGCCCAGATTCTAAGACGGTTTCACGGACAAGCTGGGCACATTCTACAATCACATTTTCACAGATGTGTGGCTGTTGGGAAGGACAGTTATAAGTAGTAAATAACATTACTGCAATTCAATAATCTTCACTTACAAATATGAACAAACTCTTTCTTAATATAAACTACAACTTAACTCTTATATGAAGTACTGAAAACACATGACTTTCAAAATCACTTTAACATTGCACATTGCACCTACCAACTGTGTGCAACCTCCATTCTCATCATCAACCTCCAGGTTCCATTTCTCTCGAGTGTGTAGGCTGCGGACATGCTCTACCGTTTGTTGGAACAATGACATTAGGCAATGAACTCTGTGGAAAAAAGATAATTAATAATAACAACACATTCTGAAAGAGTTTTTGAAAATTTACATGGTGTTGCTTTCCTATTAATTTGTAATTTATACATACTTTTCTAAAGAGGAGATAGCTGCAAACTAATTCTTAACTAACACATCTTAGCATCTTTCATATATTTGACTTTTATATAAAAAAAAAATTATATTTAACCCAAAACCGACGGGTATGGCATGTATGTAAATGCTATGCCCACTTTGAGTTTACTTTGTTAATTGTTTTTACACAAAGATGCCTCCACTGGTACTAAGTCACTGATGAGCCAATTATGAGTACAACTTGTCTAATCTGTTTACACTTTTCCTTGATTTTTGAAAATATTTAATGTTTTCTTATATCGCCACTACTAATGTCAATAACATTATAGTAATTATAATGTCTATAATAAAAATAACACCATTGATATTCATAGCAGTAGTAAAAAAAAAAAAAAAAAAAATTCCCACAAACTCAAGGAAAGGTGAAATTAGGTAAGGTCACAAGGTCTACTAATTGATTCCTTTGTACTAATGGAACATCAAATTTCAAAATCTGCACAGCATTTTCCCAGCATCACTTGGTTAAAAAGAACAAATCTATCTCTATTATCTTATTCTCATTAATATACTACCCCCTCTATCTATCTATCTCAATTTCACTCTCTTACACTCCCTCACTTCCACTCTCCTCTTACCTCCTCTCTCTCTATTTCTACCTCCCTATATCTCTCACTATCTTGTATCTCCATATCCCAGTCCATGAGTCTGAATGATTACTTTCTGATTATCCATCACTCCACAGACAATTGAGCATATTCACCTCAGATCCAAAATCAAGTCCTTAACAACATCAAGGGCATCATTAGGGAGATCTTGTGTCAGCAGCGTACTATAACACCCACGCACATGTCGCAAAACCTGTTTACATCAAAAAGAATTTCAACAAATGTATAAGCTAGACAGTATAACAATGAATTCATATCAAGAATCAAGTAAGAATCTCTTTATAGCTCTTCAAAGTAGTTATTGTCAAGAGACATTTGAAACTCACTTGTGGTAACCATGGCGTTATCTGATCAGGGGAAGCCTCAGGCCAAACATGGTAATTTCGGAAGTTTGCACCAACAGGGTCAAGGGAGTGAGGCATTATGGCGCCTCGCATCAGTCCACTGAACACATGAAGTAACTCCAAGATCATTTCCTGCAAACAATTTAGTTTAGTGATGGATTGTGGGTAAAGGAATTTTACACAAATAAAAACATAATATATTTAACATATACAGAAAATATTGGGACATCAAAACATAGGATACACTTTTCTGCCTGAAAGTAACAACAAACAAGTCTTTCCTAAACAAAACAAATATCAGACATTTCTCATATACCGATTTTTACGGAAAATCTTCCTTCTGGCCTACCTTACATCTGGGGTGCTTCAGATGATCCACCTGAGCTGATGGAGGCAACAATTCCCCGCCAAAGTAAGCCTGACTAAGTTTCCACATGTCTGGGAAGTTGGTGGACAACACCTCACAAGCTTCCTCTACCCACAGAACACGCACTGGGGCATTGGCCTGTAAACAAGATTCTAATTAGCAGACTTTAGATGTAAGAAATATCCTCGAATCTAAATTCAATCTAACCAAAGAATTTCCCTTAATTTAGTATTCAACTGTGTGGCAAATCTCTCAATCATTACAACACTAATAAAGCACCTACTAACATCATCCCTACCTGCCACTCCCCAACAGATGACATCATAATCTTGTTGTACTTGGCAGCTGGTGTCGAGTGCCTGGAACCACCCACACCCCCGCCCATTTTCCCACCCCCAGAGCCGAGATCATGATCCGCCATCTCTCGATTGAGATGCGAATCGCGGACTGAAATCAGGAGGTGCAGGATGTACTCGTGCTGCGCTGTGAGACACTGCCAGGCGGGGTCACCGGGAGTCTCCAGGTGATGAAGATTTCTGTGAATTTGTAAAGAAAATTAATAATAATGATAATGATAATGATAATACTAATAATAATATAATAACAATAGTGATAATACTAATGATAATAATAATGATAAAATAATAAAAAATTCACTCTCTTATGCCTTAGATATGAGCCAAAATTTAAATTAGATGAAAGATTATCTCAATCAATGTCTCTTTTCATCTCATTGTTTCTGTGTCTATCTTTCTAAGAAAATCATAGAAATTAATATAAATACAAAAGTGAAATGAAATCAAAAGAGAGAACAAAAAAGAAAAAAAAGACATTATAGTATGAAGAGAAAAAAACACACAGAAATTGTCCTAAGAATAATATAATCCAAAGTCCTTACCTAATTATTTTCTTTTGGTGTTCTAGTGATGATGGCATTCGAGTCAGCTGTTCTCCAAGCACTCCTCGTAAGTCATCTATACGCTTCTCCACCTCATTATAGAATCGCCTAAAAAGCTGCAAGGCAACAGTACACTGATTCAGGACAAGGTTTTGATAAATGAATGAAAATAATTACATAGAAATATTTCAAAACAAAAATACAGTTAGCCAAACAGCAACCCAGACAAACAGACAAACAAACACAAACACACATATATATCTATAAGAAGAAAAAAAGTATAAGAAGAAAAAAAGAAATGCTCTAAATGAAAAAAAAACTAAATAACTTATCAACTTACAGGAACTTGTGTATCTCCAAAGAGACTTTTTGCGCGGGCGTAGTCATTAATAACCACATCATAGTCCCCGCGCTGAATGTGCCTCTCAATGTTAACGGGCAAGTACAGTAGGAAGCGGAATCGATGAAGCACATTGAGGGCATTCCGCGTCCCGTCGGCTCGGTCCTTCCGCTGCAGGACATCCTCAAAGAGCTTGTCTGCTTCCTCTTTACATTCTGGTGGAGAGAGAAATGCTGTGAGAAGGGGTGTTCTTGTCTTGCTATGTTCTTATGTGTATTGTGGGAAAGAAGAATAAAAAGATATAGAATAAAGAAGAGGAAGAAGACAGGAATATTGTTTTCCTCACTAGATCTTTAGGAGATAATGCACAATCACTGAAGCTGTAAGTAGTACCCTTAAAAATGCAATGAGCTTTAATCAGTAGGCATTTTCCTTTACAAGTCTGTCAAGAAGAATACAACACAAACTGAACACAGTTTAAAGATGAGCAAACTAATCTCATAACTACAAAGCACCACAAATTCTAAATCTTGTCACTACTCATACCACATAAGCAAACCTGAAACAAGATGAATAAGGTGAAATTCTATATATCCTAAACAGATGAAAGAATGGTACCTAGAAAAGGAAAATATCAACCAGACAAAATAAATAAATAAATAAATAAATATGGCACACATGACCGTGGCAATTACCTATAATGGATTTCTCTAACACTTGGGTAATATTTCGGCCATATTCTTGGATGTCGCTCTCAAACTTGCATTTCAGCTCCAGCAGCGTGTCTAGTTGCTCCAACACCGAGCCAACATTAGTCTGCAAGATAAAGTTTTCATTTAGTTTTTTTTATGCATTCAAATATCATCTTTACATACAAAATGGAACTAGAAATCAAATCTTACTTCCATATCAAAAACTACTCAACTAACCTTTAGGAAGGATATCTGACCCATCTTCTGTGTCTCTACTTTACGCCTCAGGTATGCCAAGCCTGCTCTGAGGTCGTCATACGAGGTGGAGTAATGATTCTCGAGGAGGAACCATTCTGGGTTGAATTTGGTGGAGGAGAGGTCTCCCGAGCAACCAGGAAACATTTCCTCCAGGTCTTCGTTCAAAACCTTGCGACTGTCGGGAAAGAAAATAAAAATCTACTCTCATCTACTCTCCATTTTTCTATTATTCTCTCTCTCTCTCTCTCTCTCTCTCTCTCTCTCTCTCTCTCTCTCTCTCTCTCTCTCTCTCTCTCTCTCTCTCTCTCTCTCTCTCTCTCTCTCTCTCTCTCTGATTTTGTCTATACTATGAAATGAACTTGTAAATCTATGTACTGGAAATATCAGTAAAGCAACATTAAAATCATGCTATTCAGGGCAGATTAAAACCACCATTTCTTAAAAAAAAAAAAAAAAAAATCCATTCTCTCCCTAAATGTACTCCTCCTTAACCCTACTGCCTACTGCTTTTGCTCAACATCTTAAAGCAACACTTGAGACTTAGACTTACTCATTGCCTTCAACCGAGAGTCCAAGAGGGTCCTCCTGCAGGGCGGATGTAGGGGACATTGGCCTTTTCCTCCCAAAGGCCATGTTGAGGAAGATGGTCTCATCTACCCACACGGCCGATTCCTTTAGAAGTCCCATTGTTTCCTGATATCCTGAATGAACGTATATAAAAGTATTATTCAAATATACTGCACAATCGAATATTTTTCCTTACATCTGAGAGAAAAATCTATAATAATTTCTTTACTTAGAGACATGAATACAAAAGGACACTGAATCTGTATAACATCAACAATAGCAAAGGTGACAGTAGCAATGACTCACTAAAAATAATAGTTTTGGAAATAAACTAGATAACAATATTGTGTTATCATCCAAAAATTGTTTCCTTGGCCATAAAAAGTACAAATTTATTTTTCAGAAGTCAAAAATATCATATTAGATTCTCATACCTTCAAAAGTAATACTGATATTTGCAAATGTAATGCATATAGGGATGTG